ACTGAATAACCACCATCATTAGCCCGCATCACCCCGCCCCCGCACGTGTCTGTACGAATATTCCGGTCGCTGGTCAAGCGTCCACGCCGCATATTCGTCACTTCCGGCCCCCCCCATGTCGCACTTGCGGGAGGCCCCCCTTCGCCCCTGACTACGCGCGGAGCGCAGCGCGTCGGACGGCGCCCGTCCCTCGTGTGCCGCAGCCGGGGTGGGGTGATCCGCCCCTCTCAATATTCTCGCCGCAAGGGGGTTTTATGCGTCACCTCGTGCACATCTTTCCCCATCCGCAGCCCAGCCGAGCAGCGCCCAAGCCGACCGGCCCACCTTTGGCGGCGTGCGCTGCTCCCCTCGCCTCCCTGCGCCTCGCTCTGCGTCGCGGATCCGCATCGGCCCTTCCCAGACCGCGAGCTTGCCGGAGGCACCCGGTGATTTGGCGGCCGCATCCGCGCCCGAGGGCACTGAGCGCATGTCCGGCATGGACGCCTCCGCAACCACCGTCGGACTCGCCTCGGGGACGATCTCCGCCCCGACCGGCCCCGCGATCGGCCAGGTCCGGGACGGCCGGGCCGCAGCCGCCACGGGGGCCGCCAACGCAGGGTGAGATGTCACACATCATCCCCTCTCCCCGCCGGCCCCTGTTGCTTTTGCGCACCCCGTGGGCGCATCGCCAGCCCGTCAGAGACCGAAGATCGGCGCCATTCCGGATCGGGCGCCTCCGTCTGACGCGGCTGCTGTGTGGTCGTGCGCAGGGCTGGCTGCCTGCGTGCATGGTCGCACCCCAAGCGCCCGGAGCTGACCTACGCGCAGCAGTGCGTCCAGGCGTACAAGACCCGCTGGTGAGGCCCCCGCCACCACCCCCGCCCCCGCCCCCGCCGCTCAACGCATCCGGAGCGCCCCGCTCGTCGGCTCTGCGCCGCGATCCCGTGTCCAATCCCCGCCCCCCCAGTTTGTTCCGTCCACACTCGTTTGGGTTTTCCCATGCAAAAACATCATCCAAGTCCCCATCAACTCGGTGCAGTGGCCTCCGTCTCCGTCATCGCAGGACCGCGCCCCTCGGCGGAGCCCCCGTAACGGAGGCGTAACTCGCGGGTGCCGCCCTGCGCCGCAACTAGAATCGTCCGCATCTGGCGGCCCGAATCTGATGGTTGTCCCGCCGTTGGCTCAGGCAGCTCGAGCGGGACGCCGGCGCCTCGGCCTACCGTGCGCGGCAGTCCGCACATGCCCGCATGCAGTACTACAACGCCGCGCGCCCGGCGGACAACCCGGAAAAGAAGGGCTGATGATTCGGTGACGTGGTGATGCTCCTCGGTGGCGTGATGGGCCCACGTTCGGCGGCGGGCGCTCCCGCGCGGTCGAGACTCGATCGCGGGCGGGGGGCGGCGCCGGGGTGGAATAAGGCGCGCGCGCGCTTTGGCGGGCCGAGGGTGGTTCGAATGTCGGAGTTTCGTGCGGGATTTGGTAGAGTGCTGGCCTGGCTGCGTCGGGGCGGAGGCGGGGGTGCGCTTGGGTGGGGCTGCCCCTCCAGGTGTCGCCGACCCCCCCCCCCCTCCCCAAGATTCGTTGCCTTGGAATATTCCGTGAATGGGTCCGGAATGGGTTTTCCAGCTTTTGTGTATTTTGGTGCATCGCTGTTAGGAGGAGTTGTGTTTGCGTATTAGGTCGGCGTTTGGGGTTAGGTGGGTGGACGCTGCATTGTGACGCCCTCGCCCGGTCCCGTGTGCTTTTGTAGATTCCGTGTGTACCTGGGGGATTCCCGTGGCGTGCGTGTGCCTGCAGGCTGGTGGGTGTGGCCCCTTTTGTAATCTAAACCAGATGAAACCCACATGCGCCGTGGCTGTGAATTGTGGCTGTCGGTCTGTGTCGGGTGCATTATTTGTTTGCTTCCTGACTGCGCGCTCAGCGCAGTGGAGCGCTGTGTCGGTTTGCAGAGTATTGGTATCGGCAACGTTGTATGGTTGCATGGGTGAATTGCCGACAACCGCTGTGCACAGGCCCGCCTATCGAAAGCCAGTCAGTACATGGGCGCAGGACGTCGGGCGTCCCTGTGTGTCTGCGCTGCTGTCCCTATGTGTTTCTTGCTGGCCTAAGAATATCCTATTTTGCACAGTTAGTTGCCTCCCTGACTTGCTGAAAACATCGTGAATGACATGCAACCGTATCAGTTCGGGACAGTTTATGCAAACCTAAATAAACCGGTTGTGTTTCTTTCACCCTTGCTATTTGCGTTGGTTTTGAAAAGGAGTGCCCGGATGCTTGATGGGTAATTCAGGCGCATAGAATGTGCTTGTCCTATGCGTTCTGGAGAGGTGAGGTGGGAGGGGGCCGCACACAGCCGACGACGGATCGGAAGTCCGCGCTTGTGTTGAGTCAGTGACCCCGACTCCGCGCCACATGTTTAATGAGTATTTGGTGGCGATGCCCGTCAATGGCCACAGACAATTGTTGGCTTCAAAGTATCTTTGGACGCATTCTAGAGGAATGTAACATGCGTGATTTGCCTTTACCCTGTATTGGCTTCTGGTCACCCCTGCTAGGGTACGAGCCCGTACAGTACCAGTCCAGAAGTCGGGCCTACGGCCCGACGTTGTGCATTTTTTGGTACCTGCTTTATCGGTTGAAAGCCCACTCTTTGGCCAGGCTGCACTGTTGATGTGCTTCATTCCGCGACAATTTGCCCAGCACGTTCTTTGACTACCGTGTCCTTTGCTACCGTCGCTGCTGCCAGGGGTGCGCAGCACCGCAGCGAGAGCTTGCTCCAATCGTGATCCGGGCAAGCCCTTGAGGGGGACTCGTTGTTACCCGCACGTCTGATTCATGAGCCAACGCCGCAGCCGCATTGCCTTAATCGACCCAAGAGTGCATCCGACACTCATGACACGTGATTGTCGCACACAGCGCGCTGCGGACGCCATTGTGGAGGTCCACGCCCCACCGCGCAGAAGCACACACCCGCCCTCCAATTTCACTCCAGGGCCCAGGGGCCCTGAACGCTTGGCCCTGAGGGGGGCGCTGACTGCGTTCCGTGCCGCGATCGCCGTGCCAATGGCTGCCACAGCGGAGCGCTGCATGCTGTCGAGTTGCTCCGCGGCCAAGCGGGAGTCCTCGCGAAGACGGCAACTCCGGGCCGCGCACTTGGGCGCGGGCCATCGCCGATGTGGCGATCAGCGCCGGCCACGGTCTTCATTGCCGCCGTGACGACGCGGAATCGCGCCGGGAAGGCGCCCCTCGAACGCAAGCGAGCACGGTGCGCCGCAGCCGCGACACCGATAGCCGCGCGCCTCCCCTCGGCCGCCTTCGGGCACAGCCACCTCCCCACCGGGGAGGCATGCCCAGAGCACCCGACTCGGAGAGCCCCGCCACTAACGTATCCCCCAGGTCACAGGTGTCGATCCTTACTTGAGAACGCTGACTCGGACTCAAAAAAACAGTTCCGGGGGGCGCCAAGTCGGAGTCCGAGCTTATAGTGTCAGACACATGTCTCGGTATTAGCCTCCGCGTGGACAGTGCACTATCGATTTGCCAGGTGATGTTGGTGACCTTATCTTTCCCTGCTGGTGTTGTTGCACTTTTGGTGTAACTCGGTTGCTTGTAGGCCTTCTTTCCCAATTCTCGAGCCTGCTTCTCACAAGTAATTCCACCAGCTCCTTGTATCAGCAGTCTGAGCATGTTGGTGTCCATGACCTCAAGTGGGTCCAAGCTCTTGCATGTGCGTCTCTGTATGCACGTCAAAAATATGAAATCCAACATGTATGGTGCAATGGTGATCCGGTTGATGTTTCTTCGTGAATTCAAGTCAATCCGAACAGACCACAACTTCCTGTTGCGCTCCCAATTTCTTATCCCCGAAATGACCTCCACTGCATACATAGCAAGGTGTTGCGACACCAGTTGCACAACACTAGTGCCGAACGGCAGTGCTGCCGTACCACGAAGTGCAATTGAGCTGGATGTCGTACGACATGTAGCACACCCCAGAAAACTTAAATGAACTTGCCGAGACACAGATGAAACTCAACGCATCGGGCTGTTGCATGGGCCACAGAAACTAAACGCCTTGAGTGAATATTCCTGCCAAAGACTAAGCAGCGCCCTTGCCCCTTTGCCGATGACGAGCATTTCTGCATCCAAGAATGTGTTGCTGTCCCTCACACTTCGTTTTTCCCCGCCACTGCATCCAATGGACACAACTAGTAGTCGAAGAAAGAAAACACACTGAATCCAACTAGAAAGAAAGACAGACTAGAAGTTCATGAATGAATGAACATCCCCACAGGCAACGCGAAATTTCGGCACATTGGTCATGTCACGTGTCTCTGCTGAACTCAAATAGTTAGACAGCATCCCCTTGCTAGCATCTACACTGACCTCACAATGATTGGCAAAGAGCCCCACCCCAACAGCATCAAGGGACTAGAAATCCATGACTAGAATAGCTGCATTCCATCCCGCGATATTTGATGCACTTCCCGGAACCTTGCAAACCCTAATTCGGCCGCCCCGCGAAGGTTTTCCCCTGCCTGGGTCTCACTCTCGTGTGACTCCGAACAGAAACTTCGCTGGGGCCTGAGGCCACGAGGGACCAGAGACCATTGCCGACACCCGTTGTGGCGCCACGCAGGTCTACAGGGCGGGATGTGTGACCGCTTGGGTCACTCTTGGGCACCCCACACCACACTGGAACGATGCTTCAAAGAGGCTACGTCATGGCCGTCCACGATGAGGAAGGGCTTGCACGAATGGATGACTAAACCACCTGCGCTGTTGTTTCTTTCCCCTTAAGTACTTGAAAGGCCAACGCTCGCTCAACTTGAGCGGGCTGTCGTTGAGCAAAGCGAACTCGGTCCTGGGATCGTCGCTGCCTGCGGAGCCAGCTCTCGCCCAGGCTCTCTCAAGAGACCCACCACTCTGACAGGCGGCCTGGCCGGTGCCGACCACACCTCGCCATTCCCCGCTAGCTGTTGGCTGCTCAAGGCGCTTTCGTGGTCCCTTGCATTTGAGCCATGTTCTGGCGGAAGAAGAAGTCGTTCGCCGGCAAGCACGTCTGCATCACCGGCGGCTCGGAAGGGCTGGGGCTGGCCCTGGCGATGGAATTCGTCCGGGAGGCCGCCCACGTGACGATAATCTCCCGCAGCGCCGCCAAGTTGAGCGCCGCATCCGAGGGCCTAAAGCGCCTGGCCGGGGAGCTGGGATCCGCCGGCAGGATCGCGCACACCAGCGCCGACGTGACGGATTTCGGTGGCGTGCGGGATGCGGTCGCGAGGGTGGAGGCGGAGGGCGGGCCGGTGGACGTCCTGGTGTGCTGCGCGGGCGCCTGCAAACTCGGCCACTTCACGGACCTGAAGGTACAGTAACCACCCCTCGCCCCGACCGTCGAGATGCCATAGCCATGTACTGAGTACAATCAGGCCTTGGAGCAACGAATCCCGTTTCGGTCTACCTGGGTGAAATAGGGAGCCGGCGGCTTCCTCCCTGCCTTGGCGCCAAGGAAAATCTTCACATCGACGAGGCATTTTTTGGCTGGATCTGGAGGTGGCTCTCCCAGGTGTGGCGATGTCGCTTACATGCACTGGGTGCAATCTGGTCTTGGGGCAGCGAAGGCCATTTCGGGCTGCGTCCGGGTGAAACAGGGAGCGGCGGCTCACTCCCTGCCTTGACGCGAAGCCAAATCTTCTCATCGAATTGAGAGGCACTTCTTGGTGGATCTGAAGGCGGACGACTTCGAGTCGGCGATGCGGCTCAACTACATGGGGACGGTGAACGCGCTGCAGGCGGCGCTGCCGCGGATGGAGACGCGCGATCGGGGACTGGTGGTGATCATCGCGTCCGCCATGGCCGTCAACGGGATGGCATGCAACTCGAGCTATGCGCCCACCAAGTGGGCGCTGCGCGGCTTGGCGGACAGCCTGAGGATGGAGTACCAGGGCACAGGGGTGGGGTTCTGCATCGCGTACCCGCCGGACACGGCCACGCCGGGGCTGGAGGCCACGCTGGAGGGCCAGGAGGAGGGGTCGGAGGCGCGACAGCTGATGGAGTTGGGCGGAGAGACGTACTCCGTGGAGGTGCGCGCTGCTTTCCTTTATTTTTTTGTTCAAGTGTATATTGCTTCGCATATTTAAGAATGTGGTGCTGCGCATTTAAGCGTCCAGCTGCGAGGAGGCTCGTGCTGCTGTCGCTGTTCATCGATGAAATGAAGGTGCGGGTCAAAATGGCGCCCTTTGTGCGTCTTGGTGCCGGTGGGTATCTGAAGATCTTCACAAACTTTAGTTTGATGAGCTCATTGGGGGATGGTGCTGCCCACCTCAAACTGTAGAGGCCGAAAGGAGTGTGGCTGAAGATAGATTCCTAAGCGTGTGGTGGGCGACATTGATCAACACTGCATGCGACCACAGAGAGCGGGATTCCTCCAACCCCTGCTGGCAAGTCATCCCACGCGTCCACAATGTCGAAACTCGTTTCCTGGATGGGCGCAATGCTTTCCATTGCAAATCAGGGATAGAGTGAAACGTAGGAGGATGAGGTTGTTGGTGGTGAGGGTCAGAGTGCATGGAGTGTCAGTCCCCCCAAACAGTTGTGCCCACCTTGTACCAACATATCATGAAACATTTTTCGAATCCTGGAATTTCCTCCCTTGATTGATGTCAGCAATGATCACCTTAGATTGGGGAAAAATGGCCAAAGTTGAGTGGCTGGGGCTGAAAGCAGGGACATGTGTTTTGGACAGAGTGCTCTTGGGGGTGAAATTTGAGGATGTGCACCTGAAATACTGTCTTCCCCGATGCATTGACAATGGTTTCTGGTATGGGACAAAGTGAATGTGGCATCTGGACAGGGACAATACACACAGGTTTGCTGGGCCACAAGCTTGGCAGCGAAAATGGTTGTGTGGCTGTCTTCCCATTCCAAGGAATACTGAGATAAGCAGATCGGAGTGAACAAGAGTGTAAGGGCTCCTCCTCTCCCTAATCTCCAGTTGGCAAGGCTAACAGTGGTGGTGAAATCCCCGTTGAGTGCCTCATGCTTGGTAAAGCATGAACAAGACATCGCCTTCGTGCTGTGGCACACCTGTGCCAGTCCATTTTATGACCCTCTTGTAGCGCCCTCAATACTCATGCCTTTGCAGCAAAGGTGGCGTCTGCTTCTGGGTGGTTGCTGCCCTCATGCCAATCATCAGCAGCCAACAGTCAACAACAAAAGAGTACTTTCAAGCTTATCCGTACCTGTTGCATATCTGCACTGTGCTACCAAGAATGACATTTTAGCACCCAAAAATGTGGCAGTTGAAGCATGAGTGACCATGCACCTTCTGGTAACTGTGCAGTGCCCTTTGGCCAATATCAGTGGCTGTTATATCCAGGCAGTGTCCAAGGCGATAATGAAGGGGTTGAAGAGGGGCGACTACCACCTGCCATCGCCAGACTTCCTTCAGAATTTGACTGTGTCGTCCATGTCTGGCCTGTCTCCAGCACCCCTGTGGCTACCTTTCCAGATGCTCGTATCCAGCATATTGGTGCCCATATATGCTGTGTATTTGAGGAAGTTCGATGCCATCGTGAGGAATGCACGGAAGCGGAGCAAGAGCAAAAAGGACAATTAGATTCTCGATAATATGTTGATATTAGCTGTCTCTTGAAATGGGAAGATGAGCGGGGCCCAGGTTCCTTTTTCAAAGGCTGTGTACCTTGCACTGTATTGGCAGATCAAAGGGACGGAGACATCTGTGTACTGGCGCAGCAGGGGGAATTGAATTGCATGGTATTGCTCTCAAGGGGGGGCAGGTGTTGTGCCTCTCAGGATGGGAATGCACACACCAGCAAAAAGCCTATTGTAGGTGTCACTGAACCAGCTGCAAGTGAGATTGGGTAGTAGGGTGCATTGTAACATATTCATGAGTGCATATGGACACAGTATAGCTGTTCATGCCAGTGAATGTTTAATTTCTTGTGCGAGCTTGTGAACCTGTGAATTTTGAGTTGCTGCAGATTCAATGTGGGAAGATATTCCCAATCCAAGCGTGCTGGGGGGGTGCCACCGTGACTGTATGTGATGTGATATTGGATACTGCACTATCTCATGCCTTGTTGTGGTTACTCTGGAACATTCAATGCTCTGTCCAAGTGGCTGGATGCCAGATGGTCTAGATGGTATAACATTGTACGTGTTGAGTTGCATGTTAACCCCCGGATCGTGACCAAGCCGGACAAGGGCTCAGCTATCAGCAACATGGCCAATTGAGGAAGAAGATTTTGGTATGGTTTGAATGAATCCCATGGAACCACCTTGTGAGCAGCACAATTGGGTCCGGCCTTGTATAAATTAGTGAAGTCATGTCTGATGCTAGAAGGTCGGTTTTCTAGTGAATGCGCCGAATTTGGGCTGGTTGTTCTCCCGCGCATACCTGACGCCCGCCAGTCGGGCGAACAGCACTTGCGAATGTCACCCTGGCCCGCCCTGCAACATATCCCACTTGAACCTCAAACGGATCTGGCCAGCTGCCCGTCAATTGAGTGCAGGTAGTGTTAACCACGGCATACTCAATTACTGCAGAACAGCAGAAATCCGCACGAGCACAGATTTCACCCGCTCCGTCCTCCTGCCCTTGCGCGAAATTTTTGGTCTCCATGATGTTTTTGCTCCCTGAAACTGCTCACACCCTCGAAAGAATCCCGCAACCCTGCTTGTACCGCTGGGGTTGTGTGTGGCGAGTCCGGGCCATAAGGCTCGTGGTAGCGGAGCGGGTAGCCCCCGCCCTCCAAACAGAGTGAAGCCGACCGCCAGGAGGGGACGCCGAAACGCACGTCAGACAGCACGGTACGCTTCCCACGTAGGCCTCTCGCCATTCGTTTGAGCGGCCCTCGAAGGGGGAGTATCGCTGGTCGGCCCAACTCAACTGCGTCGCCGATCAAGCCTTCTGAATAGCGGTGCGTCGTCCCTTGGTGCCGTTTTGCTTGGGCATCGGTGGCTTTCCACGCTGTCGGCGCTGGCTGTCTTATTTGCCAATGCCTCAGCGATGGAAGGAGCGTGCGAATAGCCCCCAAATCGCGGGGCGCCATGAGCACCGAGCTGCTGGGTAGAAGGGCTCGTGTGGGAGAGGTTTCTAGAATGCCAAACTTCCGATGCTGTGCGTGTTGGTAACGTACAGAGCGGTTTTGGGGTGGGAAGGTGCAAAGCGACGACTGCCAGTGCTTCCGAGAAATTCTCGTCGATGTTTGCGCGTGATATCGTTGTGGTCCGAAGTCCAGCACGCTTTGAGCTATTCTGATTTCACACTTCACAGCGGTGAAAGCCGGGGGCCTTGGCCCCATGGCAGGATGCGACCCAGTAGTGGGTGAAGATTGTCGTCACAAGGAGAACATGCCCTACAATGCATCCTTTTGCTTTGCAAGATTGTCGAGGGGCTTTTCTGTGGTACAAGAAACGCTGGTGAAGCTGCTGAGGGCGTCAGACATAGCATTATCTGTTCGTGGAAACGAATATGCCTACATTCCAAGTGTCCCCAACTGGCTGACAATCAATTGATTGTGTAGCATCTTTGGTGGCGCTTCAATCGGGCAGGTGTCTCATTCATAGCTGCCTCAAGAGTGATTTGCACGCTGTGTTTGGCTAGCATGCGTGCTCAGTTGTCTCTGCACCATTGCTCATGGTGTGTACTGTGCCACCACAGTCTGCGTAAAGGACACATCCCAGCCTGTTCTTGTGCTTTACTATACACCTACTTGAGCCATTACGCACAGCACCACAGTATTTTTACCCAACCATTTGGTTGCTGCTGTTGTTGTGCTTTTTGGCTTAACAGGGGTTTCCAGGGTTAATGGACTGTGGTTGTTGTGGTGCTCGTTGCTGATAGTGCGCAGCTTGTCTTCAGTAGTATCAGAAATAACTGTCAGAGCACGGGGAGAATCAGCATTTCATAAGGTCAGCAGAGGGGGCCTAATGCATTAATTGTCTTAATGAGCACGAGGACGAATGCCACTCGATGCAGAATACTAACCCCCCTCTTGTTGTGCTATGTGGGCAGATAGCTCCTGCACAATGTGCTCAACTGTTGAAGAATGGCGGAGTTTCTGCAGTAGGTTTGAGATGGAAGTTGAAGAGGCGTGTGCATTGGCCAGATCCAGCAAGGTGACTTGGCTTGACTATCGACACCACAATTGGACATGTTATAGAACAGCCATGGTTTGCGCTCAAGGGCAACTCACAATTGGCTGAATGCTGGAGTTGGAAATACTGCATGATCTCAGGGCACAGAGAAGCTTATATTTGGGACTTTTTGATCACATGGGAAACTGTGGTTTGATGAAACCCACCTGTGTGTACATGGCCTGGGAGGAGCATGCTAAAGAGTTTGTCAGCTGATTATGAATTTGCCAGTTGATTGTTGCTTTCAATGCTTGAAATTCACACAGTGATTGTCAGAGAGTCACTGCATCAGCTTGACTGTATTGTGGAGGCACAGCTTTCTGCTTTAATCTGTTCTTGCTGGCTTGCCCTCTACAGGGGTAACATTGTGCCTTAAACCAGCAGACACTTTTCGGCATGGTTCGTGGAGTATCTCAAGATGGGCGTTGACACTATGAAATTCCATACCAAATCATCTTGACAGATCAAAAACCAGATTGCCACTGCATGGGAGACAAGGATGGAGTCAATGCTCATAAATATCTTCGCACGTTTCAGCACATGAAAAAGATTTGAGAACATTGTTTTCGTCCAATGTGCATTTGCCAACAACTATCACAGTGATGTTTCACTCCATCTGACATTCCATTCTGCACCAGCGCTACGGCATGGTAGACTGGGCGAGCCTTCCCCATGGTATCCTGGAAAATGTGAGGGCCACGATGAATGATGGCCGCCTGGGCAGGTCCTTGGACCTGAGCAATGCACGGTTGGTAAACCACCACTGGCATCGTTGGGCGTCAGATTCTGTCACTCAACTGCACATCAGCATCCGCGAGGATGTCCCCAGCCTGTGCTCCATGGTGGCCACCATCGCACACAAGTTTGTAAATCTGGAACGACTGCACCTCGTGTATGATGACGTCCCTTGTGGAGCCACCGAACTGGAACAGCTGAGTGGACTGGAAGGCCTCACGGCACTGGACATCAGTGGCTGCTACATCAACGATGGGTGCCTGCAGTGCTTGAGCAAGTTGATGGGCCTGCAGCACCTGGGCCTGGCATACTGCAGCCATGTGACTGACGCGAGTCTGGCGAGTGTGGCGCGGCTGCCAGCGTTAGCTTCCCTGGCCTTGTCTTCCTGTTGGAATATCACTGCGGACGGCATGGCGCATTTCACAAGGCTGACGACCTGCACATCCCTGGTGCTGCTTTACAGTGACGGGTTCAACCACGAGGCTGCTGCCCATGTGGCACAGCTGACTGGCCTCCGGGAACTTGAGCTGGCATACTGCCGACATGCAACAGACGCCAGTTTGAGGCAGCTGGGGGTCTTGACAGGTCTCGTGTTGTTGAACCTGTCATTTTGCTATGGCCTGTCAGAGCCGGGATTGGAGCACGTGGGAAGGCTCACTGCACTGCAGCACCTTGACTTGTCCTGTGTGGAGGAAGTGACGGATGGGGGAATGCAGCATGTGGGAAACTTGACTGCGCTGACACATTTAAACCTTACACGCTGCAAACTCATAACAGATTTCGGGGCAAGGCAGCTGGGTGCACTGAGGGCCTTAAAGAACCTGAATTTGTGTGGCTGCATTGCCCTCACAGATGCAGGCCTTAAAACAGTGGGAACTCTGACGACCCTGACGTGCTTGTGCCTGTCCCTTTGCAAGGGAGTGACGGATGAGGGGGTGAAGCACATTGCCAGATTGGTGTCGCTGACAAACCTGGACGTCGGGCTGTGCCAGGACGTCACCGACGATGGTGTGAGGCTATTGGGGAGAATGGTGCTTCTCAAGGACATTGTTGTGGCTGGCACCAAGGTGACAGACAGAGGGGTTGAATGGCTGAGGGCCGCCTTGCCTCGGATGCAGGGCATCCACACTGGGCTTTTTGACACAGAAGGCCTTGCAGTGGATGGACAGGGAAGAGCTCCGTATTTATAGTTTTTTTATCTGAATCCAGACTGGTGGAGAACAGAATAGTGTCCTTGTGCCTGGTAGGCCAGGGCAGGTGTTGGTTGCGGCATGTCATCAAACCAGTGTGGCATTCAGTTCGCTTCTCCATGTGCTATATGTGGACACATGCTCAAAGGGGAATAAGGGGGCTCATATATGACAGAAGAATGAGCTCGCTTTCAGATGGTTCCTTGTATCCACGTTCGATGCGGCGAATTGTAATGCAATGAAGACCAGGCCACTTCGGCAGGGACTCTGTCATGGGGTACCGCACACCAATATCATGGATTGTCACTGGGTAACCATCAGCCAAGCAACATCTCATATTGCATGCTGTTGCATTGGATGTATGGCTTCGTGAAGATTGTCTAATTGCCAAAGCAGCAGGCCCCAGATCTGAACGAGTTTGCCTTGCAGTTGACTCATTGTTGGCTGCTGATTCTGTTTTCTTGTGTGGTGCTTTCTTCGTATTCTTTTGGTAAGAATTCAAACGCAACAGATTGTTCATCGTTCTTCCAGTGCAAATGTGGTATTGGCGACATGCTTAATAATTTACGACACACACGTACAGTCGTACGTGCAATTTAGGCAAAACTGATATTGTCAGATGAGAAGAACTTCCACAACGAAAATATGCAGATGCTGATGCCTCCAATGTGCCTCAATGCGTCATGACTGCAGCGCCACACCGTGCGCCAGGCTAAAAAGGGCGGGCCTCTGTCATTCATTCCCAGCCACTTTGCGCTCAGAACCCCTGCGCAGTTGGCGGCCCAGCCGTAGGCGCCAGCCGTCGCCCAGCGAAATGCTGCGCCGCCTGCGCCAAAAGATTACGTCCGCCGGGGCGGCCTGGCGACAGCTCTCCTCGCTGTCCTACGAGGAGATCGCCGCATCGCCCAAGGAACCGGCAAAGGTTCGGGGCGTGGTTTCGTCCAAACGCTCTTCCGATGACAGACTCGAGGAAGGCGAACGCCTGACGGGATCGCGAGAAGCCCGTGTGCAGTTGTGGTTGGCGATCACTGCAGGGAGTGATCGGCGCCGGCAAGCTGGGCAAATGTGCGAGCGAACAGTTGTTGGACGCCCGGACGGACCATTGTAGCTATGGTGGTTGGTCCATTGTAGCGTGCCCCCATCCTTCCTCCAGCAATGCATGGAATCTTGGGCATCATTTGGGCACGCATTCTTGGGAAGGGTGGCGTCCGCTTAGGCCCAATCTGACTTGCATTGCCACCTTTGATGGCGTTCACAGGGTGACCCCTGTGTAGGTTTTGTGGTCCATGGGCTACTTGGAGCGGGAAAGAACTGGTGAGGCCAGCGGACGGCGATCTGCCCGCAGATGGACTTGTCGGTTGCTTCGATCACACACAAGTTGTGGCACGAAATACTTGGCGTATGACCTCTCCTTCAGACCCAGGGTTTGTCTTGCTGGGGCAGCCACTGACCCCTAATTGGCACAGGCGTCCTGCAGACATTGTTGATCAACCCAACATGTCACTGCCAGTAGGAAATATGACGGATATGGATTGGACACGTCAGAATGAACAAGCACTATCCGTCAACCTGCAAAAGATGCCAGGCTGTATGGCAAACCTGAAACTGTGTCACTGTGCCAGAAACTGGCGGTTTTCATCCCCGACACAGTCTTTGCATTCATGCTGCAGTGCAATTTGAGGTCTCTTCTTCATGTGAACGCAGTTGCCTCAATTCAATATGGTTGAACAGGCTATATTTTGTTTAAGTCGCCTTTGAAAGATAATGCGGTGTTCCTGCACCTTGCGCGGGAGATGCCAGGTCAGAGCTTGCCCATCAGCAGCACAATCTGCACATCAGATGTTTGTGATTGACATCGGTTCGTAGGTGTCATTTTCAGTCGTATCCTACGCACAGTCCTTTGGTGTTGAAAGGATTTCAACACAGCCCACCTCTGCCAAAGAGCTAAGAAACACAAAATGGTTGTGCTTGATGAGATGGCATTTCTGCAACATGCTTTGCACAAGACTGAGCCAGTTATGTCATTGTCGTGTCGATGCAGACCTGTGCATGTTTAATCGCTGCACACCAGCTATGAATTCTGGATGAAATTGGTTGGACATCGCAGCACAGTTACCATGACTTTGGCATGTTATTATTGAAACACAGAGCTTAATTTTCAGGGTGTTGGTGATCAAGAATGCCTTTAAGAACAATGAACAACATTTTGTCCATGAGCTGAAAGCAGCTGCAGGGGAACTGCTGCGGGGATGTGCGGTGCATCTTCTTTTGAATCCTGTTCTTCAACCCCGGCCGAAATCTGCTCATTTGGCTTCCAAATGTGTATTTTCATTGTCCTGACTTCCGTGTCAGCGTCCCCATCTGCGTCTAGCTATTTTGTAGGCGGACATTCACAACAAAGCTGGCAAGGGAGGCTGCATCAAAGGGTTGCAGGTATGCTGGTGCAGTGCATGCTTGAGGGGGGTCCAAGAGACACCTTGTGTTGACTATTTCTGGTGCTTTGTGCCATGGGTAGCTGGTCGTCACAAGTGCATGACAGTCCAACCCTTGGCATTCTGCGTGACGTGACGGGTGCAGGAGCATATATAAAGTGCGCTTTTGTCCAGCTGCAGTGAGAATTCTGCATGCCACCTGCTTGCACAGTATGCAAATTGCGGCACACCCAGGAACTATGTCCTTGGTCGGTTTTTGCCCCTTTGCAGCCTGGTGGCAGTTGGCATCAGCTCCTGATGCACTTATTGTGCTATTTATTAGTGCAGCACCCCCTGTTGCTCCGAAGTTGGGCACTCCTGTGTGGCACCATTGTACTGTTGTAGTTTATTAACACATGAAGCAGCACAATGCCCTGACCATCTTGGGATAGGGTAAGAGATGGCAACAGTTGATGCATCTGATCGACGAATTGATTGGCTAACCTGTGTGCGGATGTGGTGCACAATTTTATAGGGATTGGACAATTTACCTTGTCGATCTTCGAAATCATGGGTTGTCAAACAAACCTGGAGTGTTCAAACCGCCTCACACCATTGATGCTGCAGCAGAGGACCTGACAGAGTGCATTGCCAGCCTTGCTAGGTGTGTACAAGAAGCTCAAGTCGTTCAATAGAGATAATGCTGGCATTGAAAAGTATTGTTGAGAGAGAAATGCAAGTTGTGTTCATCGCAACCGAATGCAACCCTGAAGAGGGCATCGAATTCAACATCCATTGCATTGATTAATAGCAACATCACACCTGCTCCTGTGAGGCGATGTCATGCGCATTTCACAGTGACAAATGTTTGACTGTACCAGCTGTGTTGAGTTTCCCGGTCAGAAGCATTTTGGGTGCAAGATGAATGCTGCACTGCTGTGCCTATCCATGCGATCCAGGTGCTCCAGTCTGTGTAGAGACTGATAACCCAGGACTGGTGGTTGCTCATTTCTTCTTGCTGAACATGCCATCTGTCACGACTTGCCGCTCACGGTGGGAAGCTTTTATCTTGTGTATTGGATTTGTACGCTGTCTTGGCCAAGCCCAGTGTAGCATCTGATCGTGGAGGAATCCCCTCTTCCCAGCGTTGCTTAATTTGTGTTTTCAGTGCCACTCAGTAGTGTTGATTGCCAGCATGTGTATGCCACAGTACGATGCCACTTGGCATTGATGGCTTGCACCACCCTTGCACGTGAAAGGTGAAGGTGTTTTAAGGTTGATTTTGTCGGTTCGATTTTTACTTTGTTGTTAACTTCCATCTGCACTTCTGCTGCAGGCATTTTTGTATCATGCAATGCACAAGTGTGCATACAACACTCTATAGTTTTGGTTAAGGCTAACCTGTCTTGCAGTGGGCATCCCTCATCCTCAAGGAGGGAATATACATGGTCCACACTCACTGCAATCGTACCTTTGTTGAAGTTTTGATGGGTTAGCTGGTAGTTGGAATCAAATGTAATTTAGTTGTGCCAAGCAATTGTTCAAAATGAGAATGGTGGATGTCATGCAAAGCGTATTCTGAGTCCAGGGGCAAGCTTGAATGATGCCGATGCACCTGCATTGCCTGCATGAAACATATGCAAGTACACTGACAGATGACAGCAACATGTACACAGTTCTGATGCAGTTGCACACCTGTCTGAACTAGGGGAAAGGCTCCCTCCTTTGTGGCAGGTCACTCTCTGGGAGGGAAGGTGGTGTTGAAAGCTGCCAGTATCGCAGCTGCGTCCTCAAAATCACAGTCATTGTCAAGTCAGGTACACGTCTGCATGCCCCCTTTGTTGCCTTTTTGTCAACGTTTTTGAGCGTCAGCGATTGACAGCCACGGCCATCTTCCTCCAGCTGATGGGAACTGCCCCAGCTACATATTCTGAATCCTCAGTGTTGGGCCTGTGGTGCTGTTAGTATGTGTTGAAACCTGATTCTGTGATATTGCTGCCCTTGCTAGATGAATTTGCAGGTGCACTTGCACCTGCATTTCATGCTGATGCAATGATGCAGTGTACCTCAAGGAAAACAGAATGCATTTTACGCGTGAGGCATCTCTGAGCTAGTTTCTTTTTTGCTGAGCATGGTTGTCTGTCACAGACTCTCCTGGCATTCAGAGGTATCTGTTCCTGTTGTGTTGTTTGTTAATCGCAGCAGTTCAGTTAATGTTTTTGAACAGATCAAACCAAAAGCAAATACTCCAACAGGGATGTGTGACATGCACCACCTGTAATCCTTGTAGCATGCTGAAACAGCACGCAGCCCCATGCAGTGGACCCAGATGGCAGGAAAGTTAGTGCATGGCGATTCACTGGGGCGGCTTTTGTGTTTGTGCCGGTGTTTGTACATGATGCTGTTGCCATTGTGCCAATGCACCAGTACTCAGTGCTTCATTGTTGTGGGGGTGCTTGGTGAATGCATGGCTTGCTTTGGTACCCTGCAGTTGTGGATATTTGATTCTCAGATCGGGCTGGTGCCAAACGAATCGGCCGTCCGACATATCCTGGATGCTGTGAAGGTACGTGTGGGTGTCTTACGCAAGTGCCTGCCACATCTGTTGCTTGGATAGATCTGCATAAATTGCATTTGTCAGACTATCAGGCTAATCTCCTTTCACCCGTCGGGTCATTGTTGAATCAAGCATGACTCGTTTAGCTGTTGAGGAATGCTGCATGTGTAGTCCCCTGCATTGTGAAAGCAACCCACTACAGCTCCAAACGTGTCTGGAAGAAATGAAAGCTTGAAAGTGGGCAGAGCAGGAGCTGCCATCCACATCCCATTCCTGTTCCTCAAAATAGTGGATATTGGGCAAGTGCCCATGAGGAGTAATGGAAACCACAGGATCAAATTTGAGGCTTGTCTAACTTGGTGGCAACGATGTGATGACCTGCCTCATTGTGCGCGAGTCGCTGTGTCAGCACTGGCCGATCTGTTTGTTCACAGAAAGCATGCATCGCTTCCTGGCACTGGTCTTCTTGGGCAAGAAGGCGGATTATAGAATGCAATTCAGATCGTTCTGTTTGCTACAGGCAATCCCACTGCCAGTACCATCTCGTAAATGGCTCTATTCTCACATGGAATCAAAGGGCTTTTCCTTGCCGCTAGCCCAGTGGCTTGGTAGCAGCCTCGTGGGATCGCCAAACGGACCATTCACATGGGTTTTTGACATCGAGGGTGCCTATGAAATGTACGAGTCATACAGGTGAGCACGGATAACTGCTGCAAATACTCTCTCCCAGATAGTCTCGTTTTGCGTCTTCTCCAGCTCAGCGGTTTTTGTCTGTACAATGAAGAATGCCTGCTTGTTCCCTTGCTGAACAAGATCATTGCCCCTGCGATGTCGTTGGCTGACTCCTCTTGCATTTTGCTCAATGATTGTTCTTTCCTTCGCTGGCTGTCTATATTCTTTCACTGCAGTGACAGAGATGCGTTTGAGCAAAGATGGTGAATATCGTTGACCTGTCACGAACTGCCCCATGTTGCCTTGATTGTGAAGTGGCTACATTCATCCGCATATGTGAACGCAAAAATCACAGTCTATTGCAACCACAAAACGGAAACGTTGGTGGTAATGCATGCGTATAGAAATGCCTGACTTCTATATCACTAGTTATGCATGCAACATACGTGAATGTTTGAATTCTGTATATGAATTACACTCTCCATGCATGAATGTTCGAATTTCATACTCATAAATACAGATACGACTACAGTTACTCTTATGGATGCGGATAAGGATATGTATGGAGATGCAGATGCAGATACAGATTGAGAGATGGTTGTGCGTATGCCCGAAATTCAGACATGACCCATCGTCACTGGCCTTGCTCCCAGAAAAGCATGCATCAAGGTCACCATTTGAGCACCCAAATTGTTGTACCCAAGGGAAACTACAATTTTGCCAATGCCACTGCCCCAATCATCACTTTAGATTGTGTGCTGAATTTGCGCTGAATGTTATCGTGCATTTGCTTGTTGCAGTGCTTGCTGCACTACAGTAGCACCACAGGTATCGTACCAGTGATGTATTGCGTATGCCTTTAGCATTCTCCCGAAAGCTGGTAGTTTTTTGTTGTTGCTTTGGGAGGTAGAGTGCTGCACA